CCCTCCCCACCCCCCCGAGTGCACAAATTTTTGTGCACCGGGCATCTAGTATATATATAAAAGCCTAAACCAAAAAACGACCGGTCGACCAGTCTCTGTGACGCACACTGACCACCAGGGGGCAGATGCTCAATGCACAAGCTGCCCCCTGGCGAGTGTGCTCCTATATATAAAAGCCTAAGTGACCAAACGACCGGTCGACCAGTCTCTGTGACGCACACTGACCACCAGGGGGCAGATGCTCAATGCACAAGCTGCCCCCTGGCGGTCAGTGTGCTCCCACAGCCAACCTCCTGTGGCCGGCCAACCTTCCACAGCCCCTCCCCCTGATTGGCCATCCCCGATGACCCCGATCGGGACTGCCGGCTAACCTCCTTCTGGTTCCTCCCCCCAGCCGGCTGGCCAACCTCCCGCATCCCCAATTGGCTCCAGTCAGCCCCAATCGCCGGCCAAGCTGAGGGACCTCACCCATGCATGAATTCATACACCGTGCACTGTGCCTCTAGTATACTTACAGTTCTCTGGATATTTATTCAAGTTTAACATCTCATTTCTTATTAAAGCTGAAAAATAAAGCTATATGAATGAATACTTTTATATAAATTTATAGAACTTAATTTGAAAAGTTCTACAGTTGTTAATTAATGGTAGAATATAATAAACACTAAACCATTCAAAAAATTTACCTTCTGGAGCCAGTTTAAACTGTCACTTTTTTTTTTTCTAATGTAAAGGTATGGATTTCGTTTCTGGGCACCTTGGGTATTCTTTTGAAGTTTGTACTACCTTTTGAGATCTATGATTTAATTAAACATTTCTATTGGTAAAATTAAGGAAGAATACTTCTTAATTCTAGCTAAAAAAAATTCACTTCTTTATAAATTGGGAGTCTATTGACAGTTTGCAAAAACATAAAGTAAGTTTCCTTTTACCCTATGAAGGTTTTTGATACACGTGAGCATGATTTATGGCTGAAGTAGTCTGATCTTTTAGATATATGTTAAATTAATTTGTAGTTACTTAATGCAGAAATACATCCTCTTTTAAAAATCTACAAAATTAGCCCTAACCAGTTTGGCTCAGTGGATAGAGCGTCAGCCTGCGGACTGAAGGGTCCCAGGTTCGATTCTGGTCAAGGACATATACCTTGGTTGCGGGCACATCCCCAGTAGGGGGTGTGCAGGAGGCAGCTGATCGATGTTTCTCTCTCATCGATGTTTCTAACTCTCTATCCCTCTCCCTTCCTCTCTGTAAAAAATCAATAAAATATATATTTTTTAAAAATCTACAAAATTAGAGGTTTTGTTTTTTGTTTTGTTTTTTAATATACACAGACTAATCCTGATCCCCTTTTTCTACTTAAAGCAAGGCTTTTCAACCTTGGCTAAATATGTTTTAAGGAAAGCAGATATTACTAACTTAAGATATCTTTCAGTAGAATCTTTATATTTCAGATCTTAAAAAATAGTTTTTTTTTCTTTTTCGTGTTTTTTTTATATTTAATTTCTTTATTGGTTAAGATATTACAAATGTGTTCTCATCCCCTCATTGACCCCCAACCTCCCCCCCCCCCCACTCATGCTCTCATCCCCCTGTTCTTAACACAATTTGTGAAATACTAGAGAAAATCATGAGCTATTGTTACTGAGTTGTTACTGTGTCCTGTTCTACTTGAGAAAAAAAAAGTTTTATGTAACCCAGAAACTGTCAACATCAATTTCTTTGTGTGTTGACATTCTGTGGTTTGACAGTTACAACAAGAGATTTAACACTTGAAAATTTTGAATTTCGTTGTAGTCATTAATGACCTTAGTGTATAAAAGAAAGCCACTCTAAATATGTATGTCTTCTTTACATTTTTTCTAGATAAAAATGGTGGTAGAGTATTGTGGAAATATGTGACTTTGTCTTTAACTTTTTTCCCCATATTTTACCCATAATCAGTATAAGAATTAACTATTTGATTGCTTTTAAGGCTATGAAAATGAGCCGGAGATCAGCTGACACCAGCCAGAGGAGTTTGGCTTATAATCGAATAGTTGATGCCCTAAATGAATTCAGGTACATATTCTCCACGTTCTGATAATATAGAGTTGTTTTGCAGTGTACACAAAAGATTTATTTGTATTCTTTAACTTATTTCTGATAAAATTTAATTCTTTAAATTACTTTCTTTCATTGTCAAAGGAGAGTATAATTCAGTAACCTATTGGTTTCTAAGTTATTAAATATTAAAAATGCTTGGGATTGAGGCACATTAGGGAGCCATCAGCAGTGTGATTTTTAGTATTGGACCATTAGACAAGCTAAGATGACCAGAAGATACCCTTATTCCAACAGAAATGTGCTTTGTCCTCTGTTAGGCTGTTAGATACAGGGACTAGTTGTTATTTAACCAGTGATAGTAATCAGATGTTCTTGAATACATGGAATACAAGGATGGATATAGTGAATATGAACTTGATGTTGCTTGATCTTTTCTCTAGATGATGGCAAAGCAAATAGTTTTTCTTCTGCCAGAATTTTCTCACACAACAAAGTTTGTGCCTAAAGCTGCAACAACTGCTATAACTGCTCTCATTATGGCAAGCAAACATATTGCATACAAACTTACGTTAGGAATCACACAAAGTGACTGATGTGTGTCTCCCTTTGAGAGAACCATTTCAGGACTACTTCATCCTCTCATCTACTTAGTCTTTCCTTCTTTAGCCTGGAGAGATAGTATTGACTTTTTGCTTATTTGCCTAAGAATCCTGCAATATTGTTTCTGAGTTTTACATTTTGCAGCATTACAAGGTAATGAATCTTTGCCCTTGAACTTGGAGCTATTACTTACATTATTGGATTACAGTTCCTTTCTGCAGTCACAAGCTTTGTGGCAGAAGGCCAAGAGTCCCTATTTGAGCTCCGAGGTAACACTGTCATTATAGACCCAGCTGAGGTTACCAGAATAGTAAATATTGTCATAAGACTCATTTCATTTAGAAGATTGATCTTGCTCTTAGGTTATAAACAGTATTTTTATTTAAAACAATTGAATTAAATACTTGCAAGTTAATTGCTTTGGTAATAAGGCAGTATGAATGGCCTAGCCTTAGAATTTTAAGATTGCCTAGAATTTAAAACATGTATGAGTTATAAAATCATTGAAAATATATATCATGATTGAGTGCCTTTCCTTTTATATTAGTGTGATTATTTCACTTCAGTCACTGGAAATCTGAAAGGCTATGTAGGTTAATTAAGCATTCTTACAATATCTAAAAAACTTGATAAACTAATAATTTTAAAAAAGATATTTTTATTGATTTCAGAGAGGAAGGGAGAGGGAGAGAGAGATAGAAACATCAATGATGAGAGACTATCATTGATTGGTTGCCTCCTGCACACCCCACATTTGGGATTGAGCCTGCAACCCAAGCATATTCCCTGACCAGGAATCGAACTGAAGGCTATCTGTAGAAGTACTCTAATGTGTACAGCTGATCCTCATTATTTATGAATTCTGTATTTGTGAATTCACTACTTTATAAGATTCATAACCCCAAAATATACTCACAGTGCTTTTACGATCATTTGTGAACATGCACAGAGCAATGAAAAATTTGAGTGGCCTTACACGCACATTCCCAGATGATATCGGACAAGACAATGCTCTGCGTTCTTATTTCAGCTCTTATTCTTTATATATATGTCCTTCTATATTTCCTTTTATATATATATATGTCCTTTTA